TTTTTTGTAATTTGTAATTTTCTATTCTTCTTACGTAAGTCTTTTAAGAATATTATTTAATACTCGCATCATATACTAAATATAAATATGATAATATAACTAAAAATAGGCATTATGTATTTTCTTCATCCACTTCTCTCTCAATGCATTAATTACATATATTGTATTGTGTAATGTACCAAATTAAACTGTCCTTTCATAAATCTTAATTCAAAAACAAAACTATCGAGTTTGGTGTCCAAATACTTGTAGAGGTATTCATAAAAGTATTATGAAAAAGGCGTGTTTGCGCACACGCTACACGTAAAATCGTTAAATTATACTTTGTCACGCAACGATCTATGCCCACCACCACTATATATTTTATGTCGATTCATCTTGCTATTCTTCAATTTATTTGAAGACAACAGAAATAGTAAGATACTGACAGCAATAAGGGAGTCAAAAATAAACAAAGCATGCGCACAGAACTGCAGATGCGTGTGAAACGACAGATTACATATAATGTGCACGCAAACCTCAAGCGACCCATGATAATTGAAGCTATAGATATTTATAACTGTATTTTATACCGAGTTCACTTTCTCTCTCTCTCTCTCTCTCTCTCTCTGAGATTCTTTTGATTAGGACAGATATTTTATATCTGCAATTAAAATCATTTGATTTATACTGGGATAACTATATAATACATTCGTCAACCAATATTTAAATTTATTAACATATTTTTTAATACTATTTCAAAATAAATTAAGTTATTATGACGATACTTCATTTAAGGGGTCCCCCCCCTCACTCTCTATCTCTCTCTCTCTCTCTCTCTCTCTCTCTCTCTCTCTCTCTCTCTACATATCATATAATTAATATTTTTATATAAATATTTTTTTATTTTTTTTTTGCACAAGAATAATGTAATTAGAATAATGGATAATACAATTTACGATATAAAGAAATAAGTTATTAAAAAATAATTGTTGCTTTTATTTCAAATCAATCGAGAATGAATACAACGAGTATTATCATAATTGTAAGTTTCTTACAATACGATACGAGATGTAACTACGTATTATAAAATATGCATATATAAAGAAAAGTATATAAACGAAAACACATTCAAAACGTCAAGTCCACGATGATTGAAGTTCCGCTATATGCGCGGTCGTTAGAATAAAGCTAATGTGTCCTGTAATAATCGTGTCTAACTTTCCGTCTCTGCGTCTTCACGTGCATTCGCGGAACTTGGTATGTAAGTACAAAGGAGAAAACATAGCATCGAGTGAGTGATATGTAGAGAGAAAAGTACAATGAATTATATGATTGAATCAAAGTTGCTATAATAAACGCAAACGGAAACAAGAAAAATATGAACGATAGTTCAATGATGCTGCTGTACGCTATTGGCCGACTTTTATTTTCGTATGATATCATTTAAATAAATAAATAAGTTCGTAATAAATAATAGACTGTTTGAAATTGTAAATTGATCAATGTTCTCATACAAGTTTCTATTACTAACTGAACCAACAATTTAATCACTTCTACGGAACAATAATTTGAAATAAGGACTATTTTGAAAGGAATAATTAACATTGTATAAACTTCTATACTAGTAATACCTAGTATTATTACACTGCATACGCGTCTTCATAAAGTATTGTATAAATAGGTCTGTGTGCGGGCGCGCGCGCGTGTGTACATAATTTTTTAACAAGTCTGCTCAATTGTTATCAATTAAATTTTTATTATTAAACTTTAGTAATAAATAGATATTGATAAATATTGTTTATTACAGACCGAATGTATGTATTTGCTGGATATATATTCATTAGAAACGAACGATGAAGTCACTATTCTCTTTTATGCATTTTATTTTATCAATATTTTTGCTATTAATAACGTATGAGTCGATACATATACGATCAATTCATATTACTTATATAATTGATGCATATACTGTTAACTTTCCGCTTAACAAAAATAATTTATAAACAACATATCAACGCATTTGCTTCGTCTACGAGTAACACGTCGAGAATACTTGAATGCACAATGTTTTTTATTCATTATGATATGACACGATAAGTGGAACTATGTTTTAATACGTAAATATAACACTATATGAAGCATTGTGTGCAAACGAAGCATTCAATTAAAAACGCTCTTCATCCTTATCACTCTGTACCTGAGAAATAAGAATATTACTTTTTCGTATTTCATTTTATAAATTGATGAATTTATAAAAAAAAAAAAAGAAAAAAAAAATGTATGTCTGATGATAACAATTAAGACATTATCTTAAATATTATCTTATATAGTTCACGTATACTGCACTTACAATATGTAAATTAAATAGTTACATTATATTTGTTACTTATTTATCATTTTTAATTGCTTTAACATTTGAAGTAAAAGGAAATATTAATTTAGCCAAGCATATTAATTTTATAACTTGTTTTGGATATTGGTTAGTGGAGTTAAGGCTTAAGCCCCTAATATCATATTTTTTGCTATCACTTAACGACATTAATAGGAAGGGTAAGAAATTAAAAGAATTTTGAACTATGAGCCGTCATAATAGACATATAATAAACAAAATGAATTTTTCGAATTATTGACAAACAAACTCAATTTGGAATTACTTTGATTTTCAAAAATGCCAATTATCTAAATAACCTACAATTAACAAACACAGACGAATTAATGATAACATTGATAATACGTGTAAAAGTCTTGGCCCTGTACGTAATTTGAAATACGAGATCAAACAAATTTTTTCTTACCACAATTAATATTAACGGTAGATTGTATAAAAATCCTTGAGAGTGCGTTCTATGTTAAACAATCGATTAACGTTGCATTACAAATTAATGAGAAATATTTCTACAAACCATTTGAAAATACCTCGAATGCGGACTAATAAACAGACAGACAGACAGACTTCTTAGCAATAGAAAATTTTAAATATCCACTAAATGAAATCGCTCCCTTTATCATGATATATTGTTATCATAAGATAATTAAACAAAAAGCATATATGGCTTTTTGCTAAGTATAGTCCAATAAATTAATGATAAAAGCATCGAAACTTAGACATGCTCGTGTTAAAATGTCGAATACCTGTTGCCATTTCCGAATTCAATCATTCAATCAATCAGATAAACATATAATATTGTCCGTGTAATAATTTCCATATCTATTTTTTCAAATCATCAAGTGGAAAAAGGAAAAAATCGATAAGATGCACGGCATTGTATATCCGTAAAAGTTGCAGAAGCTACATTGTAACGAATGACTCATACCGACAGCTAACGTGTATAGAATCACTATGTGACTTAATGCATACAAGCACATGCGCACGTGGAGTCGTTATAAAATAGTTTAATAAAAAATAGACGATATAGAGCTTAATTAGCAATAATATTATCTACCTCTTATCAAAAGCACATATAATACACGTCATATTTATAAATTTGACGTATTACATCAGTGTGCTAAGAATTGTAGGTATATATATATATATATATATATATATATATATATTTAATGCTCGTATAATCTTCGAATTGTTTAAGAATATATGCTTTTTTTATATTGTTAATTACGACTGTTGGTCATGTATAATTTCACTTTAAAATAAATAAAAATAAATAAAATGTGGATAAGTTTATTTAACCAAGTAATAAGATAAATATAAAATTCAATTTATTAATTTGTATTAGAAATATCAAAATACCAACGTCAAATATATTTCTAGTATTAAGTAATATATTTATGTGCATTATTTTCAAAAATATTCAAAATTTATTTTAGACCTATTTTGGACAACAAAATGAAAAAATTGGTTAGTGCGTATTTGAAATTATATCTTATTCAATGTTGTGTAAGAATTGTTCATAATTCTTAATTAATTAACATTAATTATCTTGTTAAAAATTAATGTTTCATTGTGGTATATCAACGGGAAGTATGATGTAATTCAAAAAATTATCGACCAATCTTAACGACTGAACATTTTCAAAAACATTATCAATTAAGAAACTATATTTCCTTTCATTGTCCAATCAAAATTCTTTACCTTATTACATCATATAAACAATATCTTTTCGCCATTTTGTTTATGTACATTCATATTCAATTTTTTATATATTCGTCAATATAATGATGCCTTAAGAATTGATTGATTATAATAGTGCATAATAAATAAACGATTTAATATTTATTGCAAACAATTTTCGAGTTTATTCAATAAATTTTTCATGATATAAAGATATAAATTTTATGTACAAATTTTCATTGAGTAATATCAATCGTCATTAATTGTTTAAAATTACAGTCATTATTTATGCCTTAATTGAAAACTGTAGTCATTATTATAGTACGTTACATTTAAACAATTTTGAAAATATTGCTCTGCTCTCTATCTATATTTTAATACTTTACTTTCAAATGTAATAAGTATAAATTTACTAACTAAATATCACTTGCCTACGCTTGTAAATACAATCTTATTGTTTTTTGTTTCATAATAATCATATTTACAGCAATAGATTAATATAGAAATTACTTAATGGTTAATAATTTTTTTTGTTTTTTTGTTTTCACTTTAAAATGTTGAACTAGAATCTTCGATGATGTTTTACACATTGTAGTTATTTAAACTTAGAGTTTTAATCTTCGGTAGATGAATAAAAAACAGTCTTCATATTGATGAAAAAATGCCTTTTCAAATACTACTAGTTGTCATCATAATACTTAGTTATAAATCTAAATGATTTATTTTTGAGTCAAGTTAATTTATCTTCACGTCTTCCGAGTTGTGAAAAATATCGATATTTTTAAAATTTTCCAAACTATTCCATTAATTATTCAATAGAAAAAGAATTTACCAAAAAATAAAATTGTTATAGTAAAAATTAATTTATTTTTTATAAAATGATCTATTAAAAAATCACAGCCATTTGTACTGGCATATATTGTATAAAATTTTAATTTATTTATCTGCGTGTAGTTGGAAATGATTTTTTAGAAAAATAATTAATTAGATCATAATGAGCGTTGAATAAGCTTCTGGATGAGGAATACTTTCGGCTAAAAAAATTTAATTTAATTTAATTTTTAATTTTAACTTTCAATACAAAGATTATATATTGCTCTTGTTCATTAAATATAATATTATTATTAATAATACTACTATTGGAAGCTTTTTATAATTTCTTTATAAAAACAGAATTTGAATTATTTAACTTTTTTAAAGCGATTAATGTTAAAACTCTCAGCGAGTCTTCATGACACTAGGTTTTGAAAAACTTAATACGAGCATAGGATTTTGTCAAATGTATTATTACCTTTAATTATTCGCCGCATGGCTACTTCAACGTCTACCCTAGAGTCCTTTAAAATTACGTACATCAAGGACAACGACTCCCAAGGATATCCAAACCGTTGCAATAATTTTTTGCTATATCCCAATAAAACTTCTACTTGTTCTGTATCTGTAACAAAAAGAAAAATAATTAAATGATCAAACGAACCTACCTGTAAGTGAAGTTTAAACATAACTATACTAGTAGTCTCGTCCAAAGAGAAAAATGTCGCTTCCCCGATAAAAACTCAGGATTTAATTTTTTATTCGAATAAACGAAAAAAAAAAAAAAAAAAAAAAAAAAAAAAAAAAAAAAAATTTCGCTCTTGATTATTTATGGCTTTTATTGCACCCACGCATGAACTGAATCCGTTCATTAGGGGTTTGTTGAAGAAATGTCGGTCGAGGTTGCAACCTTGATCTCTTCCAGGGAGACTACTTGTACAATCACGATCTCACTTCACTTAGAGGTAAAATTTGTTTAATCATTTCAGTCGTTCGCGAAATTAATCTGTAACCGTTTAAGACGTGGGTGCAAAATTCTTAAGACATTTTCGAACTTGTAAAAGCTGAATCTAACAATGAAATAGAAATCGAATATTTCTTATCTAACGTTGAAGTTATTGCCTAATTTTTGTACTGATAATCAAATTTTTGATAATTCTAAACCTTATTGTTGTAATGCGCATTCCATCATATTTTGTCCGTATAGTATTACAATTATAATTCATTGTCCTTCAAATTCTAATGATATTGTTTAAAAATTTTTTTTTAGCATTTTAAATGTTAATTACTTATACCTTTGGAATATTATAATTATCTATTATTCTCATCGCTATTGATTCTGCATTTTGTTTAGACGTATTAGATCACACTCAAATTCAATTTTAATCTCACAACTGTGAAGCTCACGTATATAGCTACGTTATCAAATTACAATACGAATAACAAAAAGTATAATTCTATTTTTATATATTGGTATTTACATATTGGTATAAAAAGCTTCCATTTAATAAGTTCTATCAAGTATTACTTATGCTTAAATAATAAAATAATAAAATAACTTCTGCTTTGAAAAGAAATGTGGAGAAATTTTAATTTATAAATACATATAGAATATTACACACTATCAATGTAATATAGTACCCCCTCCCCCCCCTCCCCCAACACTATTGCGATCTCTGCTGTAATTAATGCAAAAGTTTTCTTCTCCAATGTTCTTATATTAATAGAAAAAATTAAGATTCAATCGGATTTATAATTACAATTCAAAATACAATATATAGAAATGTAAAAAAAAAAAAATAATGACGATTTAAAAATTAGTAAGTAACAAGTATTTACAATAATGAATATAATAAATTATTATAAAACTGCTTAAATAAATTAATAATTAACAATTATCAATTTGTCGAGATTATTAAAAAAAAAAACATGAAAATATTCATGAATTGTTCGAAAGGCATTATTATAAATAACCACAATATGAAAACATAAAAATATTCTTGTAAAAATTATAGGTTTATTTTTTAAGAATAGTTTGATCGGATATGAAACTTTATATTATACGAGAAATATTTCAAGTTCATAAATATACATCTGTAATTTCAGTAACTTATTTAGTCAAGTAATCAGATTTACAGCTAATCGCTCCATCCGTAAAATGATATTCTTCGTAAAATTTGTTCGATAACCACTAAAAAGCATCGTATTAATTTTTTAATTAATAAGCTTAGATCGATTGAATTGACATTAATTTATTAATTAATTTTTTATATATATTTTTTATAGGCAAAAGTAAGTATTAGAGGTAAATTAAATCCTGCTGTACGTACTACTTACATTTTTATAATCTTGATTTCATTTATTGAATAAATAAAAGTTAAATTTGTATGCGTTGCTTCATTACTTGCGCTTATATTTTTATTCCATTAATAGAATAGTATATGAGAAGCTCGATCATTAAAATAATTTTAAATCTTTTTAGATCGTGTTTATTTATTTATGCACTTCATTTTAAGTTTAATAGCAATTTGACGATCAACTATCATTGATATTTCTATGTAAAAACGATCAAAGGAATAAACAAATTTCCTCACGTTTATTCGATTATTGTAAAATATCATAGCAATTATTAAAACACCTTAGGGTGGCGGGGAGGGAAGGATGCGGGAGGCGGGAGTCGGGAGGGAGAGAGGGAGGTGGACAATAATGTTAAGAAATATTGGATCTTGTAAATATACTAATTTTTCAAAATTCCATAAAATATTAATAATTTTAAAAGCACCTCCACCTCCTCCATCACTCCTCCTCCCACAATCTCGCATCCATCGATGAAATACAATTTTAAATAATCAATATTAATAATTTTTGAAATTACATTCATGGATAATTAAATATTTTATGCCATATTAAGCACGTGACATACTGAAGGGACGTACTTCATTAACCGAATCGCTAATTCCATCAATTTCGGCATTCGACCGAAGCATGCCAGATCTACTAGAGATATGCATAAGCCCTTCTTCGCTGTAATGCATATCGTCGTTCTTGCATCGGATATCAGCAAATCTCTTACCCGTTGCCTTGCGATCACGTGATGCTTGATCTCGAGTAGTTCAGAGATCGGCGAAGCAAGAATCTCGAGAATAATAAGAATAAGCGGACCACCTCGGATATTCGCTGCTTGATCGAAGAGGCTTCAAGATAATCTCGAATAAGCGTGGCTACACAGGATCCAGATTGAGGTGACGTGTACGAAGTCGATCGAGATCACGTTACTCTTTTTCCGTAACGCTTCTCTCTCCTGTCATGTCGACTTACTCGTCGGTGAGAATAGTGACGGCAGGCAATGCCTTGACCATGAAAGTAATTACCTTTTCACCAAAGCTTTTTATGTAAAATCAAAAACTATTAAATGCGAAATTTCAGAATTCGATGGCGTGTGATTTATATCACACACAGTGAAATACAATCAGGTACGAGTAACGGTTGCTTAGTAATACTTGGCAGCAAAGAATTATCTGAGCTTTGAAAATACTGTTAACAGCTTAGCCAACTAGTATTACTACATACTGATCTCGACGACTACGAGGCTAAAATTGTCGAGATAATTCTCCGGACTACCAATAAGAATGGCCCTAAGAAAGTTTAAACGCCATTTACAATGCACACAATAATATTATTTTCAAATTACCTTCTTAACTATTATATTTATGATAATATATGTGTACGGAATTGACGGGAAATTGATAATACTTTTATAGTATCTCAATTTAATATCAAATATATCCAATAATGTTGTTTAAGATTATAATAATAATATATTATAAAAGACAAAAAATTATGTATTAAACTGATTTTTCCACAAAACCACAAGAAAAAAATTTTTTTTTTCTTTTTAAATTTATTAATAAAATTACTTTTGTAATTAATATAAACATCATTGATTAAAGTTAAATATTATTTCCAGTAGTAGGTCGTCAATTTAAGATATATTAATTATTTGTATACATACTTGATATTCCAGATAATTATATACTTTAAAAATAAGTACATATTTAGATGGCAGATAAAATGATAAGCTATAATGTAAAGCGTAAAATATATTTTTAAATTTACATTACATCTAATGTAATTATTAATATTTACAGTTCAACTCATGAATATAATAATTATTACATTTGCTTGAAATGTACATGGAAGGAATGATCATAACACTTTATTAAGACAATCGATAAATAAGAAAGTTTACGAAAACTTAATTGAAATATGTAGAAATTGTTGAAAATCTGTTAATAATATAACAGAAAATCGACAACCATTAGCATTAATAATAAACTTGAAAGCTTGTTAAAAGAAGTTAAATGATCCCGATTCATTCGACATCCGTAGAAAAATGCTCATATTTATGGTATTATTGATCGTGACCTAGTAATTTTCACTCATTATTATTACAGTTTGCCTTATATTTTCTACATACAATTATTTTCAATTGTATAACAAATTTATTGTTTGTAATGAAAATAATGTTTTATACGTATATATGCATAAGCACACGTGGATATATGTATATCGAAGATTACGCAAGCCAATGGGTGAGAATGACATATAACCATTGAAACTAGCGACCGCCTACTTTCCGGACTGTCTGGAGAACTCTTTTAAAAATGGAAATGGCTACCACCACAAACGGACGACTCGAAGGAAAATAAACGTGGTGGAAAGGTGTGCGTGGAAAAGGGCGTAGTTAGGTGGGCTACAACGACGAGTACGCCTGTGCATTGTTAAGTGTGTCCGAATAGGTGACGAATTTTAATGCGAATAAGTGGCAGATAAGTGAAATGAATAGGACGAAGAGGGAAAGGAGCTGTAAATAAAAGTTGCAATTAAATACAAGAAATTGCGGGGACATACTTAAAAAGGGTAGAAAAGAAAGGGAATAGAAAGTTTCGAGGTATAAGATAATGTGGTGGTAATGGACGTGTGGAGTGGGGGACAATCAAAGGAGCGCGTGAGGGGAGGGGAGATACAAAAGCAAAAATGTGGTGGGGAACGTTTGGGTAGAGGGAGATCGGTTTCAGGGTGGGGAGAGAAAGATTTCCTTCCTTGTTTTCTATTTATCATCTTTTATATCTAGAAACATTCTTTTTCCACTTTAATACCTCATTGGCATTGTATTGTAACAGACAAAATGTCATGATTTACTAATTTTGAGTTTTATAAAATTATAATGAAATCTATTAATAAATTGCTAAAAGCTTTTAAACAACTGGACTTAATATATTATGATTATTATTTATATTCTACCAGAAATGGTGAAATTATTAAGAGAATAAGATAAACATGTTTTTCTATTCATGAAGAATAAATTAATTTTAATATATTAATTTCTCAAAATATATATATATATATATATATATATAATATACGTGTGATTCGAAAATTTTTAACACTCAATTTAATACTCAAATTGTCCTTTAACAAATATATAAGAATCGTGTATATAAATAGCTTAAAATATTCTAAAAATACTTAGGCACAAATAAATACATTGAAAAAGTGATTATATTTTTGTTTGTAACAAGCTTGTACATGTAAATATAACAAATGCAAATAATATAAAAACAA